TCACCCTTCCAGGGATGTCAAGCGCGATCAAAAAAGGTAAAAACAAAACCATTTTAGAGTGGGGACAAAAAGCACCCACAGCTACTTGACAGACAGTACTTACCTGTCCTCAAAAGACTGCCTGTTTCATCGACATTTGTCTGAGGTACTCAGCAGGTTCCCGTGAGGAAAACCTGAGATTTTGACGCCACATCAGTTTAGTGTAGTGGTTGTCACAACGAAAAAGGGTAAATAAAAAGGGGGCAAAGAGAAAGTTAAAGAGTTGGTAGACAAGGGCAAAGGAGACGGGTTGTGTTGGGGCTCCGCTAAGGAGGAACAGCAAGGACAAAGTGGTTAGGGGGTTGAGATTGATGAATAAAAAATAAATGAAAAGGAGGGTTCGATGCGTAGGTGTGGTGGGTGAATGATAGTAAAAAGACGAAAGTTGATGGAATGGTGAATGAGCAAAGAAGAAAGTATGAGGCAGCAATTCGGCTCGACCTTATCAGTGGGTAGTCTTTTGAATGACTCTGGGGTGATTGATATTTTTGTGATGTTGTCTTTTTTCGGTCAAGAAACGATTTCCCAAGAGAATTTACTGTCTGCCTTACCATTCCTCGCTACTGTTTACTCGCTCATTTTTCTGGGAGAATGCGACAGAAGGCTACTCATCTCCCCTCACCCTGCTCTAAATGGCCATCAGTCAAAGTGAACATGTTCTCTTGATGATAAAGAGCTCCTTGCGCCGGCTACTATGACTGCCTCTCTTTATTGCAATCACTCCGTCTCCTCCTTCTCTTGTTATGCAGACTGTGAACTCTGAGATTGTCTGTGTGCTTTTCAGACAAGAGGGTGGTATTTCTCAGCTCACCTTTTGAAAATGTCAAAAAAAAAAAAGATTTGAGATGCACAGTCCCCATGTACTCTTTTCTGTCAAAATATCACAGCTTGGAAGGCAAATGTTAATGCAAGAATGAAGTTTAATGAAACAGATTGAAAAATGTGTGGATTTATTATTTGTTTTAATTTGTTAAACATCTGGAATAGTGTTCTTGTAAAAATTGCATGGYACTTAATTTGTTTAATTTACTACTTTAGAGCTAATGTGTTTGGAGGTTGAAGATTTAACAATTTTTTGTTTTATTTCCAGTTTTGTCTTTAAAATATTCAGATAAAAACTTTGTTTTTACTTATTTTTAGTTGCTCTTTAATTGCATTCATGGTGGACATACACTTGTAGTAGTACAAATGAAAATCCATAATTAGTTTAATTACGTATATGTTAGAACAGTTAATTAGTTTAGTTTAGTCTTATTTATTTATTTATTTATTTGTTTATTTGTTTATTTATTTATTTTTGGTGTTTTTAAATTTTTCAACTTGCACTGGGCCAAGAACAGTGCTCTTGTTATTTATTTTTATTTAGTTAGAGCACTGTCCTTTGCTATTTCAATATCAAATCATGCCAAACGATTTGAACATTGTAATAATGAACACGTTTTATTCCAATTTGTTGAAAGTGTTTGTGTAATATTTTTATTTTCTTTGACTCAGGTATGRGTCTTTTGTTGTACTAAACTCTGTAGGTGTTTAAGATTATTCAACAGTGGTCGTGTATCACAGACCAAAGATAATCATTTCCTGAGGCCTGTCCTTCCGTCCATTTTCTTACGCTTATCCGGGATCGGATCGTGGGGGCAGCAGCCTAAGCTGAGAGACCCAGACTTCCCTCTCCCCAGCCACTTGGGCCAGCTCSTCTGTTGGGARCCCAAGGCATTCCCAGGCCAGCCGAGAAACATAAACCCTCCAGCGTGTCCTGGGTCTTCCTCTGGGCCTCCTCCCAGTGGGACATGCCCAGAACATTTCACCAGAGAGGCGTCCAGGAGGCATCCTAACCAGATGAACCACTTGAACTGGCTCCTCTCGACGTGGAGGAGCAGCGGCTTTACACTGAGTCCCTCCTGGATGACTGAGCTTCTCACCCTATCTCTAAGGGAGAGCCCAGACATCCTGCAGAGGAAACTAATTTCGGCCACTTGTATCCGCGATCTTGTTCTTTCAGTCACTACCCAAAGCTCGTGACCATAGATGAGGGTAGGAAAGTAGACTGACTGGTAAACTGAGAGCTTTGCCTTCTGGCTCAGCTCCCGCTTCACCAAGACAGACCGGTACAGCGCCCGCACCACTGCAGATGCAGCACCAATCTGCCTGTCGATCTCCCGCTCCATTCTTCCCTCGTTCGTGAACAAGACCCCGAGATACTTGAACTCCTCCACTTGGGGCAGGACCTCCTCCCCGACCCGGAGGCAGCACGCTACCGGTTTCTGGCTCAAGACCATGGTCTCGGATTTCGAGGCACTGATCCTCATCCCGGCCGCTTCACACTCAATGTCAATGTCAATGTCAATGTCAAATTTATTCATATAGCACTTTACAACATGCATAAAGCTGTACCAAAGTGCTGTACAAGAACAACACAAATGACAAAACAGAGCAAAAAACAATACATCAATTAGATGCCAAAGAATAAAAATGAGTTTTAAGAAGCGATTTAAAATGATCCAGGCTGTGGGCAGATCTAATCTGGTAAGGTACCCCTCCAGTGAGAGCTGGAGATCACAATCTGATGAAGCCAATAGGACCACATCATCCGTACAAAGCAGAGATGTGATCCTAAGGTCACCAAAATGGATCCCCTCAACACCTTGGCTGCGCCTAGAAATCCTGTCCATAAAAGTTATGAAAAGAATCAGTGACAAAGGGCAACCTTGAGAGTCCAATTCTCACCGGAAACGGGTCCGACTTACTACCGGCAATGCGGACCAAGCTCTGGCACCAGTCATACAGGGACCTAACAGGTTTCCTGAGGCCTGTTTACTGTTTAATGAACTGGATTTCGGAATGAAACAGATAATTTAAAAAGTGCAGAGGTTTTTTCCACAGTAAAGCCTCCACTATTTATYTTTRTAACARTGGGCCTCATGCAAGAACATGTTGGTATTCTTATCCTAAYTATCTCTTACTTTTGTTCGTAAGAAGGGTTCGTACGGACATGCCACGTCAGATTCAACAAACTCWTCTATCTTCAGGAAAAGGTGTGTAAATGAGTTGCGTAAATTGATGAATGCGTATCCAGGTGCTCGTGCACGGGGAGAGGTGATTAGCAAAATCTTCCACCACAAAAACACCATATAAGGAWATARGTTTCCTGCCTCACATACCAGGAAGTGTCAATGCATAAGTGACATCGCAAAGTAAAAAAGAAGAACTTTACGAGTTCGGAGATTGAAGTCCTTCTCTTGGAGATCCATATAAAAGTCTTTTTTTGCAGCGTCAGCTGTGGAATTAAAGGATCTGCTTTAAAGCCGAAGAATTAAATGATGACTGCTGTTAATGTCGTGTCTCCCATGGGTCYTACAGTCACAGAAATAAAAATCGAAATCATATTTATCTCTCTCTGTAGTCCTGCTCCGGTTTTTCTTTAGTCAAATATTTTTAATTTCASTGTAAACAACTTTGTTACATACAGTAGGTTTCACTTCAGAAGAGCAGTCGTGCACCGCAACCCCCACCCCCGGCCTTCTCAACTATCAGATGCGTTTCTGAAAAAAATCKTTTTAAAATGTCTCAAAACTTCAATTAATTTCATATTAATATTGTAGTGCTATACGACAAAATTAGTAGCCAATTTATTCTAATTTAACCAATTTATGTCGTTAATCTACATTATTACATTTAAAATTATAATTCTAATTCAAACAGAATAGCCTCTAGTCAACACAATTATAGGGTGTGATTTATTTTCAACTCAAAATATCTTCAAACTAATTAAATATTAAGTTATTAATGAAGAAAACCCYTCTGGATAACAGCAGACTGACTGCTCATAAAATATACGACAGGTCTGGACCACTCGTGYATTTTGTTCGTATCTGAAAAAAATCTTAGAATARGAAAACATTGGTGAATGCCACAAATTATCCTAAAACTCGTACACACAACTTAAGAACAAATCTGTGCGTACGAATGGTTCTTACATGAGGCCCATTGTCTCTATGTGGTTGAGTTCAGGACCACTTTACAAACACAAAATTAGTCTCTGCAGTTTGTACAGAGATAAACTAGTTCAATTCAACCATATTGATACAATCTAGTTCAAACGAATTTATTCCAATTCAATCTAGTTTTAATCCAGATTTATATAGTTGGATACAGTAAATCTGTAATTGCAAAAAGCAGATTTAGTGAACATTTTTTTGCGTAAGAAAAATAAAAATACTTTGAACAGAAAGAAACTTTTAGCAGAACCAGAACATGAAATGGTGGTCCGCTGCCACTGGCCAGGTATGAGAGGACAGGATAGAGACACAAACAAACAAGTTGCATTTATAAAACTAAATTAAATCACATTAGAGTACACTATATCAGCTGAGAGGCCTCCTATATACAGTAAACGCACACATTACCAGTTGAAAACATTCCTGACAGTAAAGTATCCCTTAAAGTTAATAACAACAATGACACTCATGATTAGATAATGGACTTTTTTGTAAGTGTATATCAACATCCAGCGATTTTGTTTTTTTTAATGCAATAAAAATGCGCCCTTCGTATAATTGAGGTCTCTTTAGAATTGAATTCCTTGGAGAGGTTAATAAAACCGAATGAACTCTAAATAACAGGTGTGTGTATCACCGCTGTTTATTGTATTGTTGAAAATATGGTGTTGAATCAAACAGGCACACAGCATTGTTCTCTGAGCTGCCAAGTTATTGTTTGGACCATGTCTCTGCATTTTCACTGGTCACGCCTGGTATCACACAGTGTTCCAGGAATTGCTTGGATACCAAGAAACAACTGTTTTCTCTATATTACTGTTTAATGTATCATCTTCACTGCAAGTACACACCAATGGCGATGATAACAGCAGCCAGGGAGAGGTGAGGATGGGTCAGTGATCCTGTTTTCACGCCGGCTCATACTATCATTAAATTTCTTTATTTCTCCTGTTTTGCCTCCAGGGAGCCCAGCCGTCCAACCAGCCTGCTGCCTGCTGACTGGAGCACAGGGTTGGGTTCAGGAAAGGAAGATGACCTCTTACCTCCAGGGCTGGAAACCCTTCCACTCAGACTGATGCTGCAGGACTGCACAGCTGTCAAAACGCTGCTATTAAGACTGAGACGAACGTTGCAGGAGGTGAGTGATGCTTAACCACACCGCCGCTGAAAGACAGACTTCTTTTCCAGTTAGCACTTTTACATTTTTTTAAATTGCATTAAATAGTGAACAAATAATGACGAGCAATTTGTTCAGGAATCAGTGTGCGCAGTGCTCCTCCCACCCTTTTGTTAAATCAGCATCATGAAGTCTTGTCAAAGTGTTATTTTAAGACTTTGAACGGTCTCTATTATTTCTTTGTTTTGTTAATTTAATGATATTCTAAGTTGGGAGGAGGAAACTGGGAGATGTATTTAAGTGTCTGCCATAATACTCTTTATATGTACAGCGACACACACACACACACACTTTCCACACAATAATTCTGTTGTCACAGGCTATTACTTTGCTCTTTAAATGCCTTAGCCTATTCAGAGCTAAAGTTTTACCTCAGGCTACAGGACCATCTCCGTGTGAATGTTTGGAACTCAGTAAAATTACKTTCACACRATTACAGATGTGATTAGCTGGAATGGTCACTTAGTAAGGCACTGACACGTTGCAACACTGTGGCCTTGCAAGGTTTAACTATAGACAGGGATCCATATTAACTCTGTTGTGTCTTTAGCAGCTAATCTGCTTATTTCCAGACTTGAAAAATGAATGCAATAACATACCTGCTTAAAAACATTTGCAGTTGATCATATATTTATAGTTTAGTGAACATGATGATTTTGTAGATGTGATTTATAGTTGCAGCAGAAATAATTGCAATTTTTMTTTCACCTTCTTACTAGAAGAAACAAAACCTTTTGTTATAGAATAACAAATAATTAATGGTTCTTTTAAAAAAGGTTTATGAYCACAGCTTTAAGAAAAGTTGTGATTTGGAAACAGGTGTGTACACCTACGGCTCAYAAAACCTTTAACAAAGTCGTATGAGAGAGAACGAGAGAAGAGAGAACCTTCAGCATCTTTTAAATCTCTACAAGATCAAAGCAGTTGGAGTCCACCGAGGCATGTATATGGTTTTCTCCTGATCTCTTTGCTGTTCGGTTTTCAGTTTTTTTCTCCCAGGACTTCTGTCAAAAAGACACGACAAGTATAAAATAATAATTTGTAGTGTGATAAACTAAAGTGGTGATGAGGAAACTGAGGGGGATTGTGAGCGAGGCAAGGAGCATCAGAAGATAAATATGAAAGAGGAGATACTTTGCCCTCTTTTCTGTTTCATTAACTTGCAGAAGATGTTATTGCAATGATCTTTGGGTTTTGGTTTTGTGTTTTGTTGTTCTTCCTTAATATTCCGAGGGGTATACTAAAATTGCAAAATTACCACCCTAGCCTGATACGTTTACCTAAAAATGGATTTTTCATTGACTCAAATGTGGGTTTATTTTCACTGCAGGTAATGCCCATAATTCATTGCCTTGAAGCCATTTATGTTCAAAGTTTTGGATTAAATTGTCTAAATTTTGTATTATTAGTTCACACCTTTTCATTTAAACAACCTGCTAGTGATCACAGCAATCAGTGTATTTAATGCTGAATGTGTCAAATGTTTTAATGCRCTCCACCCCCTTTTTTCTGTGCTTCTCTTCTACAAACAGCTGAAATTAAATTAACACGAAAAATTCAATCAATCAACATTTATTTATAAAAATTAATTGTGTCTCTTACATTTTTAAACATCCTTTCTTTAAGTGGTAGAAAATGACTTCCAAACTGTTTTCTTGAAGACTGTGAAGACCTCAACTCTTCAAAGTTTTTTCTCAAATATGGTAAATGAGGGTGAACCAGTTTAGTCAATATGAAGCCTTTGCTTTAGATTTTAGCTTATTAAAGAGCTGAAGTTGCTTATTGAGACCCAATTTAAAGCTGGGACATAAAACTGTCTATTAAACCTTAGAAGGGRGAGAAGGACAAAAATAATGAAACATGTCAGTGTCTTACTTGCAAATTAGTGACAACATAGTTGTCTAGTCAAATAATGGGACTTCTTGTTTTTGCAGACATTCATGAGCACCAGGCTGATAATACTGCACTTCTTACCATTTCCAGTGTTTACTGTGCATCATATTTGTCACTTTGACACTTTTGGCCAGCCATGCTCAGCTTGCTCCTAAATTATTTCTCTTTCAGCAGTTTATCCTCTTGGCTGCACGGAGGAACATTTCTAAATTGCCACTGTCTATGTGTGCTTAAACGCAGCCTAACACAATGATCCTCATTTGTCAACGTCAGCCTTGGTTTCTAGCTAAACCGTCATGTCCCATTTGTTACAGTACATACTTTTGGCCCTTGTGGACGTTGTACTATTTCTGTACATGCACTACCAGGCCCAAGTCCATTCCACTCTAACCCCAGAGGCAGTCAATTGTTCAGTTATCGGTTTTTGAAGAAAAGAACTGCATCATACAGGATCAAAGGCGCCACTAATCAACATGTGTAAAAGTTTTTTGTGTACTCCTGCAGCTACACACTTTTACTGTACAAAATAAAAGAGAAAGGAAACTGTTCTGAAAAACAAGACTCTGTTTTCTGTCTAAAGTCTTGCCATCGTGTGTTTATCCAAGAACTAAAAGGGATAATATTTTGATTCTAGMTCTTTCTTCCCATAAAAACCCAGAAGTCAATGAGTAGGAGAGAAAATGAATGCCTCTTTTCTWATTTCAAGGTTTTCATTTCTCGACTTAGATGATGTTAGAGTGTGATTAAAGGTGTGCATCAACTACAAAACCTGCTTTCCTTTCTAAAGCCATTTATCATCCGTCGACATTCAGTTTCAGTGTAGTGCAAGTCATTAAATTCATGGCTCCCCAGCAGCCAATTCTTAAATCTGAGAGGCTTTTTACTGAGCCACATCTAATTGTAGGGACAGTTGTGTGTTAAGGCCTGTGGGACAGAGGTGACCTTAAAGAGAATGTGTTTGTGTTCGAGAAGGAAAGAAAGAAAGAAAGATGCTCTGTGTGTGTGTATGTGTGTGTCAGGGAGGGCACGCCTGTCTCTCTACGTAGGAAAAAGCATTGATCACAGATGACACATTGATGGCCTGGCGCCATAGCACACCTATAATTCTGATAGGGAGGTGTGTGTCTTTAAAAGGTCAGCCAAACCAATAAACCATCAAGTTTATACTGTGGAAAGATTTGGGCTCCAGTGTTTCCCCAAACTTACTTCAAATAGGTCAGAAATGCTGGAATATAGACTTTTACCTAAAAAGTAAAGTGGTAATAGAACATTCTGAAAATTCAAGAATCTTGAGTCTTGCACAAATTTATCAGGCACACTAGTTTTAGTTTCCTCTATTATGAATTTTTCATGAACCACTCTGCTTCTATTGTTTTCACTGCTATAACGTTTATAATCACTATTGAACACATTGGGCCCATCCATTTCCTTTAGTTTCTTTAAAAAGAACCTTTGGAAAAAAAACAACAAAAAAATAAATTAAGTTCTAGTGTCAGGAGTCAATTTAAAGTATGTCGTACATATGTTTGCTCTTCCCGTTTTTCTCATTTTACTTCACATTTTATCTGTCATGTAGTGCTGTCATGTCATTACTGAGCAGTGCTGCATCAGTACAAGCAGTCCTGGCTGAAGACCTCATTTTATCTCTCCCTACTCCCCATATCTTCTATTGAAGCCCTCGCAGGTGACATTTAGACCGGCATCTGATCTCAGAAGAACTATGTTTCTGTGTGTCTGCATGTCTGCTTGGGGTCTCATGTTCATTCATTGTCACCTGAATGAATGCTCTCATGGAGCTTTTGTGTGTACATGTGTGTGTGTAAGTTTTCTTCTGGAACCCCCTCTCTCGCTAGCCCTACTTTCTGTCTAGTTTCTTGTTGAGGTTTTGTAAAATGTAAAGAATAAAAATATGTCAAGAATTTCGCTTTTTAAATGAGAATCTATCCTTGTTTTGTCTACTTTGTACTGAATGAGCAACCAGACTTTTGTTGTAGTTTTCTTTTATACATTTAACAACAAAGAAAATTTTACTAAAAGATGCTAAAACATTCCTCGTTTTCTGCATTTTTTTTCTCACAAACTGGCGTACAGCTTGAAACCTATTTTTAAAAAGTTTTCCCCCCAACATGATTTACTGTATGTCAGTCTGATATACAATACAAAGGTTCTATGTTCTTATATAGGTTTGTGCTATTGTTTTTCACAGAGCACAGAGCCAAGTCCTGCCAGCAGCCTCCAGTCTCTACCCATCAGCCCCTGCAGTGAAAAGTCCCTTCCATTAAAGGTAATATAAAGCATATTGCTTTATCTCTTCATAGCTGCATGGTGTTGTACTTCAAACAATTTGTTTATAACAATATTCCGATATAATATGTACAAACAGGTACTAGTTTCTGTGTCATGCGCAGGGAAAGGATATTTTTAAGCAAATGAAGTGAAGCAAAAACCAACAACGTCATTGATTGAGACTATATGTGTCATTTGTGATTGTTGCTTATTGTTCCATAAAACTGAGAACACATTCTATACAAAAACCAAATGAAATGTATTGGGTCTGGTCTGGGCTTCATAGCTCATTCGATTCACCCATTCCTTACTTTTTGACTTAAGAGTTCAAGTAAAAATAGATACACTCAAATTTAACAAATTACAATGCCCATTACAGACATTTGATCAATACTTGTTAGTTTTTATATATCAACAAGTCAGATGCAGATCTTTTTACCCTGTATGCAAGCTGGAAACTTGTTGCCCATTATCATCCAGATGACAAGCTTACTGTGAAAAAAAAAGATAACAACAACAAAAAAACTCATCAGGAACCAGTTAGGTCGTATTCAYACCTGATAATTTGCTCCGCTTTAAAGGAACCAGAGTTCGTTTCCAGCGTTGGTCTGGACCTTTTGTGCAAGAGTGAATACACTCATGTGAACTCTGGTGCGGATCAAACAACCGGACCGAGACCTGCTTTTTGAGGTGGTCTCGGTCCGCTTCCAAACGAACTCTGGTGCGGATCAAACAACCGGACCGAGACCTGCTTTTTGAGGTGGTCTCGGTCCGCTTCCAAACGAACTCTGGTGCGGTTCGCTTCACTTTGCTTCTGGTGTGAATACAGACCYGACTCTAACCGAACCAACTGCATTAAACATGCAGCTTTTTGGACTTCACAGGCCACCGTTGCAGAGCTAAATAAACTGAAAACATACCTGTATTCGCCGTCTCGTGTTAGCAACTCTGCTGCCGGCATGTTGTGGGTCAGAACAAGCACCTCGTCTCCTTTGGGTTGCGGGACACATTTACTGACGRCGCTCCAAAATTAGAATATCATCATGGAACCACCATTAAATTGGCTGCTTCTGACATTTTAAACGCTATTGCAGTTGTACTATCAGCAAAAATGTGCGCATCAGAACCGCAGCATGCAGGACTTCCTTGTTTTCTTCTGGATCTGTGGCTCAGTCCCGCCCCCGTCCTTTTTTGTCCAATGGGAGCAATGATCGTCACACTCGTGGCTTTGTTTACAAGTTATAGTTCATTTGCAAAAAAGCACAATGTGAATGCAAACCGCACCAAACGAAAAAAAAATGTCCATTTTTGGTCCGGACCAAACAATTGGACCAAAGGACTTTCCTGGTCTGAATACACCCTTAAAGTTCTCTTCCAAAGCATCCAATAATGTTAGCCCCATAATTTCAGTTCTCAGTTTATCAGTGGTGAAAGCTTGGCTTCAATTTTAACAAGATTATTAGTATTTCTGATATTTAAAAAAAATACTCAGATTTACAAGCATGGAATTTTCTCTCACACAGACACACAGTCTTTTTACAGTATTTAGTCAACATAGGCAGCATTATTCAGCAAGTTAAAAAAATGGCCTTAATTTGGAATTCCAGACTTTAGTCCCAGAGAACATGCTTAGTACCCATGTTGTTCTTCTTTGAATAAAACTCCCAGGGCTGCTGTTGCAGCTCTCAAAAACATACATAGAGTCATAAATAACTTAAAACTAAAGGTGAAGATGTTGTTTACGTTTTAGCTTTGTAACCATCAGGCTGCATTTAGCCATTTTTTTTGTTTTCTAGAAAACCATCATAGAAGCAACAAAAAAAAACATGAGTTTAAACTCTATTTTATGTACTTTTTTGCTACAGCAATTAATTGCACAGTACTGTATCTTACAAGCTGCTGAAAAAAATCAATCTTGCGCAAAAAAAAAAAAAAAGAATAAACCAAAATGTTTTTTAAGCATTACTCTTTACTTTGTTGTACAGCTGTAATGAAAATTTTCCTCAAAGTGGAGAAAATCACGATTAAGTACAAAATGTAAATACTTTGTATTTTTAAAATATTGTTTGCATTTTATCACTTTTTGTCTGGTCATAGAAAGACACCTTTCTGGGACAGCAGGGCCACAAACACCCCATCTTTAGTGAGTTCACCAAATTCAAACTATAAATTTTGCATAAAACAGAAAATGTAGTTTCAAACAGCTGTGACTTGCTGCCTGATTAAAAATAATGAAACATTTTACAATATAGCGGGTTTTTGTTGAGCTCAGTTGTTCTGCTTTTCGTTACAAGCACAGATCAAATTCTACTCTCACAGAACTCCTAAATTACACTGGGTTGGCTTGTTTAGTTAAGAGTTCAGCGCCCTGCCTGCGATCAAAAATATAAAACTGAATTTCCCTTTGATCTGTGTGTCTACTTCACTTGTAGCCTTATCAGAACAATTAATGGCCTTTTTTTCCACATCTGCTCCTACTGAATCATGAAGAGATCAAATACGAGAAAGGGGAGCAGTGGGGCAAGGCATGTAGAGCAAAGTGGCAAGTGATATGAAGAAGAGACACAAAAAGAGTGATGAAAAGTGATTGAGGTGGGGATAAACTGATGAAGAGAGTGGGGAGAGTGGCTTGCATGTCTTAACAGGCTCCAGACCTCCTCTGTGAACCAAGTCCATCAGAGCTGTGCGATCTGGATAAGATTTATTAATCTCAGTAGGAAGCATATGTGTGGGTAGCTTCTGAAGTGCCTGCGTGGATGTGAGTGTGTGAGCAGGGTTTAAATCTATCATGGGAGGAATTTTGGCAAGATTTCCATTGYAATATACCGTAGTTGGGTCGCTACAGTGCTCTTATTAGACTGTCACAGTAGAGAGAATAGTCCCAACTCTGATGCTGGACTGTGATGGTGTTTGTTTGTTATTTCATTACGTCATGTTGAAGTTTCTCTGATGGATTAGCGTATGTCTSTGTGTGTGAAGCGTGTGTCAGAGAGATAGATAAGTGTTTTGCGTGAGTGCCCTCCTTACTGACCTACATGAAGTATCAGTGGCAGCTGGATGATAAGGAAAAATTAAAAATGTAGGCTGGGACACAGCTTGYAGAAAGCAGCTATGGCTTAAATTTTAAGCAAATATACACAGAGGAAAGTTTTTTTTAATGGAATCCAATGAGTTTAAATTAGGTGTAGAAGACGGYGATTTGGTTTAAATGTCAAATTTAAATATCAGCATTTCTTTGTAGTTAGCTCTTGAAGGGAAGAACAGTTGATTGAGGTCAGAGAAAGCCACAGTTATTTTCTGGTGAGGATTGYACTGAAGATATTGCAGTGAAGAGGGAAGCAGCATAGTCATCTTGTTATGAGTGCACTCCTGAAAAACTTCAGTTTCTGTCAGCGGAACTGACTTTTGCTGACATCACYATGCTTCATTTAAAATCTGTGTATTTTAGCACTAGATTAAATATAACAGGTCATAAAATTAAATATGATTTAACAGAATGAAAAAGTGTGGAAACAAATTAGACAGTGTGTGGGTTTATTTTTGTTCTTTATACAACTAATTTGTTTTATTTATTTAACTATTGACTAAAACAAACTTAGTAAAAGTTCGTATGAATCTACTGTGTTCCTAAGTAGCTGGCTGCTCTAATCNGTTCGTATGAATCTACTGTGTTCCTAAGTAGCTGGCTGCTCTAATCACTGTTCAACAAAGAAGCATCCTGTAAAACAAAACAAAAAAAAAAAAAAAGCAAACAGCAAACACAAAGAACAAAAAGCAGTTTCTAAACAATGTAAGTTTTTCTTTAAAACTTTTCCGAATAAACTCGTCTTCATTCAAAGCGCTCCATTTCTCACTCGTGAAAAACATTTCTCAAACCTGTTTTTTAACGTCTATTTTTTTCATCATATGGTGAGTTTTGATGTCAGCAGAGAGCTTTTCCAAAGCCATCTAGCATGCTGCTGACTCTAGTTTTGATTGTATTGCTAGACAAAGACCCTTTTGATGGTGTGTCTGCATTTTCCTGCAGGGATGAATGAGCCTCCCCATTATTGTGCTAGGTTTCCTCTGCCTAGCAGTATGCTTGGCTGCTAAGTAACTTAGCTCCATTGTTGTGTTAGACATTTCATGCAATCTGACACACGTTCTTCTGAAGAAAGTTATGTTTTTGTTTGGCGCCAGCACTCATTACTGATGAGTGCTAGTAACTAGGGATGCACCGATATGAAAATTTCAGCCGATATCGATATCCGATATAATTATTGCTGTTATGGCCGATAACAGATATTTACCGATATTACACAAACACACAAATTATATTATACATATATGTACAAACACACTGGTTTTTTTGATACCATATATAAATGACCAGAGCTTTGACATGGCTCTATTTCAGTTATTCCTGGCTGTGCAGCATCAATATCACTATCATGATCAAGCAGATGCTGCTCAACCAACCATCTCCCCTTCCAAAACAGAAACACAAAGATAAAATGTGGGAAATCTATATCGGATGGTAATATCGGCCCAGTTTTACATATCGGACCGATACCGATATTCTTAAAAATGACCAATATCAGCCAATACCGATATCAATACAGATATCGATATCAATACCGATATATCGTGCATCCTTACTAGTAACTRAAAATGGTTATGGTTAGTGGGGATGGATATAAAATCCATATGAACGGAGGCCTCCTAAGTGGGCCCATTGCTCTCCCCAAAAAGACACTGGTCTTTATACTAACCTTCTCGTCCCTCAGATGAAGGACACAAGGTTAGAAACACTCAGTGTTCTGAGCTTCTCAGGATCCATAAAGCGGTCCCCAAGAATTCTTTTCCTTTGACTACTCAGAGCCAGGCAGTGGCCTAAGTAGTGCAAAGAGGTCTCTAATTCAATGCCACAGGTATCACACAGACCATTGTCATGATGTCCCCTCACCATTTTGTGGTGGTTGAGCAGATTATGCACAGTTAGTACTCCAACCCGTTAGA